TTCTGGTTTTGCCAAGTCATTCATTTGGAAATTGGTCATTAAAAAAATCACAGGCTTGAAAGGATAATTAAATACATTTTCAAACACAGGCAAATGGGAGATGGACACACAGTCCTGTATATAAAAAGTCTCCTTAGTAAATGTAGTGTGCAATAGACTACTTGCAGTTAATGCAGAGTTTCTGTAGCATAGGCAATGGGTGCCCGGCACCTGCCGGTGGCCAGAGCTTTTGGGCAAATGGCAGTTAATGCCCGAGGAGAGCTGCCTATCGTTTTCAGGAGCAAGCTCGAGTGTGAGCAATTACTAAAAACTTTTTCTTTAAAAGAAATTAACAAGGAGTTTTCTAAAGCCTCCTGCTACGTTTGCCACAATTCAGATATTGCAAGCTGTGAACCAGATTGTGCCACTCTTATGTAGGTCAAATAGTACCTTGCCTACACAGTGGGGTTGTCTCTTAGAGTGTAGCTCAAGGTAAATATAAAACGCACTGTCTAGTCTGCACAGTGCAGGATAAGGACACATCGTACACCCTGTCTAACCCATAATCCAAACGTATTTGAAAAGTCCTGCTAACACTGTTTCTCAGTTTATGAAGCTTACAGTGTTACGGGTCCACAACCTGTATTGGTTAGGTTATTTTCCGGTCTTTTTCTCATTTCGTGTACAATGCCTACAAATGTACAAGGGAAAAGAATAAGCAGAAATTCCCATTTGTGAAATCCTGCTCTTTGTCCAGTCTAATAAGGAATTCCTCCTCTTGTCATAAAAATCATTGTTTTTGTAGCTACGCCATATTTGTTACTTTCTGTAGCGTAAATGATTTCTGTAGTTAGAGCATCATTGTACAGTGGGTATAAGCCACCATTTCTTGAGTCTTGTGTAGCCATTCACTTCTCTGGTGCTTTAAGAAAGCCCTTATTGGCCAGAAAGACAAACGGTGATTTGGTAGCCTTTAATAGTTGCTCTGCACAAATGTGAATGTCATGGGGAACAAGGAAAACCAGCTCCCATGTTTTTCATTCTTTGAGAAGAGCACTCCTGGTGGCTTTTAACAAAGAGGGAAAGAAACCTGCTCATGAGAGGACACAAGATTCTCTATCCAGAAAACCATTCCTGTCCCAGCCCCCAGCACATGCCCTGAAAATGTCACTCACAAGCAACTCTGCGACTTTAGCATCCAAATATCTCAGTTCTATTTTGAGGTAATCAAATTTGTGACTCCCTATTTTCATTTCAGATTTATCTTCCTTAGTTTTATTAAGGTTTTGATTTCTTGAGATCATCTTCACTTTAATTTTTCAGCGATGTTTTCATGACTGAGTTGCTTTTAAAACTCAGGATGAAGAAATACTTCCCTTGCCTTAAGGGCTCCTGCCCTGAAGGATTTTACCTTAACAGATACCTCAGATGATGCTTAGCTGCAGATTTCAGTCACTGCAAGCCACGGAGCAACACTCAGATTTTGATTCTTTCAATATAAATGTTTTTTTCTGCTTCTCCTCTGAGACTCTTTTAAAAAGTCTGTAATGACAGCAGCTATCAAACCGAAGAGAAAGTATTTTCCCTTATCTAGATGACATACCACTTCATACTAAATTTGTCACTAACACATCCTTGCTGCCCACTCTCTGCAGTGCCTCCAGGATGATAGGCTTTGTGATTAATTGGAAAAAGAGCAGTCTCTCCTCACCTCAGAGTACGGGAGTAAAAATAGGCTCAGTGTGGAAGACGCTCCTGAAATAGAGGGGTTTTTTTGGTCTCCAAAGCTATTGGGACTGTTGTACGAGAAAGGAGATGGCTGGGGGTTTACTGCATACACGTGTGCATTGCTTGTATTGTTTCCATTTCACGGTGATGTACCAGCTGTAAACCAAGACGGCCATGAGGTGACAGGCTGACATCTAACCTGGTTTCCTAAGGAAATGAGGTCTGCACAATGAGCATCGGAGTCGCTGCCTGCCCTCTTCCAATAACTTTGAATCTACTTTCCAGGTTCAGGCAAATTTGAACTTAAGTTCATAAAAGCTTAATGAAAGCAGGCAGCTGGGTAAAGTGGGGTGACTGTGTTTTCCCAGAGAGGGAATGGAGGAGCCCAGTCTGTATCACGTATCAGGGAATCCACATGGGGGAGAGCTCTTATCATGGCTTCAGAAGCAGGAAAAGCTTTGACCAGTGCTTGCCTCCAGAGAAGCCAACTGCAAGACGCAATGCCGTGGGAAGCCAGGGTTCATTACTGTGCTGTAAATACATCTCTTGAAATGGCTTCGTTCCGGTCTGCGACTTGAGTGTACCTGCTGCGAGTGGGTGAGTGGCGGGGCCTGAGCCAGGGCACCACCTCGGCTCCTGCAGACACCCGCTCACACGGGAGGGTGAAGTCCCTGTGCAAAACGGGCTGGTCCCTGTGCGTGTCCGTTCATGGGGAGAGGCCGGCAGTAAGGCATGGCTAATGCTTCGTTTTACAGTCAGGCGTGGTGGCAATCTGTAAAAATTGCACTTAAAAAAACCCATTAGTGCCCCCGGCTTCCTCCCTATCTCTGTACATGAGGAAGCACTTAGGCAGAAAGGCAATCCTTTAATTCATAGGGAGAGGACACACTGCAAGCATTCCTGCTCCGAGGAGAGCTGCTGACGCAGATGCAATCCTGGTAGCTTCTGGTGTGCTGAGAGGACGCTGTTTTATCTTTACGTTTAACGGAAGGCATAAAGTGGAATAGTAATAATGGGACTGATAAATGAAAGGAAAACTGTAACCACATAATTATGTCAGAATCAACTAACAGCCATGAAAAGCCAATTAAACCACATTATGCAGATCCATGTAACAGAATACTATTAGTAAGTCTTTTGCAATGACATGCCTGGCAATTAAGAGAACAGTATTGGCAGCACACAGTGAAAACAGTGATAAAGTATAGTTAAAAATGTTTGGAGACAAACAGTGCATAGAGGACACGAACAGCCTAGAACTGAATACAGGAGCGTCCTCAAAGATACCAGCACCCAGGGGAAAACACAGTTATTCCAAATAGACTGTTTGCTGGGATGTTGGGCGCAGCTTGGAATTAATTTATAGTTATCACCAAAATGAATTTACTGCTTAGCTATGAATGAAAGGCTGCAGTGCAGCAAGTAGTCTGTATTTTCCGACTCTCCACAGATTTCAGGTTGTGCGGGCTAATGGAGGAATTACATATTTTTTCTGAATTAAAGAAGCTTGCAGAAATATTCTGATTTAGGCGGTAAGAATATTAGGTAACGTTCCTGTGGTTGCAACTATTCAGGAAATGTTTGGGAATGAGATCACTCAGTGTTGTATATTCTTAGGTATGTGGTATTTCCAGGTCGGGGACCTAAAGAAGGTGTCACCCATTGAGTTTCTTCCTCATTGGAGTATTTGTTTCCTCTCACCCACCACAGAAAGAGAGTTGAAGGTTCAATTCTATCCTTCGCTTCCCTTCCTCTGCCCACTCTTGCAGAGCGGTTCTCTTCTGCAGTCAGGGAGAATTGCGCAGGAACAAGCTCTGACATAACATTAGCCTGGGGTTCAGAGTTCCCACAGGCTTTACAAAATGATACGATCCTACCAGAAACTACTTCATGTGACTGTGGAGAGCTCCTCTAAGGGAATAAAACCAGTGGGGATTTTTTGGTGTCAAAAGATGAGTGTGCTGGAGAGTTCATACTCCCCGTATTTTCTTCATCATGCCAGGCAGACTTCCGAGACACGCTACCAAGAGACTTTCCTTGCAGAAAACCAGCATGGATCCTTTAAATATTTATCCTACATATCATTTTCCAACAGATACATACAGGTTTTCTTCTCACTTTATTTTTGGAGATGGCTGAACTAGTATGAAATGCAGATAATGAGAGGTCGATAGCGTTTGTGCCCACAGCAGTGCTTTCCTGAGCTATTATAAAGCAAAGGAAGGGAGAGAGTGTGCGTGTGGTTACGCTTTGATTACAGAAGCCAGGCAATATGTTTATAAATGAAATTCTGTCAACAACTTAAGTGCGAGGGACATGCAGTTAATGAAATCTCTGTCAAACCAAGATTTACGATGACCAGGAGACATGCCTTTACTTAAATGGAGAAGTGAGACTGTGCCCGTAGAAGGTTAAAGCATTTAATTGTACTATGATGTCTATATTCACTTGGGCTATTTTTCCTCATACTTTGTATGTGAGAATGCTGATGCTTACAGAGTTCTTTTCATGAGAGAAGAGTATCATTATCTCCATTTTTACATGTGAAGAAACTGACACCCAGAAATTTGGAGTACCCTAGGTGAGGTACCATACCATAGCAATAGGGGAGTTAAGAACCCAACCTTTTTGTGTCCTAATTGGGTATACTATATACTGGATCATGCTGGATTTACTGCTGCACAGTAAATTTAGCTACTGAGAAGTAAACACCTGTTTTTTCATCCTTTTATTTGAAGCTTCTCCAGCAGAGAAATAACTTAAGTCCATTTCTTTCACCTTTTCCAGAACTCACAGAAAACAAATTGTTTCTGAAGAAAGAAACTGTCACTGGTAGCAGTGTGTGCTCCTACGCCACCCTGCAGAAAGGATGCTTTTCCTGTAAACAAAATAATATAAAAATAATAGGTAAATAAAAACCACCCCAGCCACGAGTAGTAAATCTTGGGCAACACCTACAACAAAGATGGTGCCTATGATAAATGGGTATCACTTGTAAGTTGTATCTGTCTGTCTGTAAGTGTGTTGTATTCTATCAGGACATGTGACTCTGACACGCACTGGACATACAAACCCTGTTACAGCTTTTGCCCGCTCTTGACTTTGAAGATTTAGCTTATGAGTTTGCCTTTAAAAGAGTATTGTTAGGAACGTTCTTGTAGTCGAGAGTACTACCGCTGAGCTCAAGGCATGCTTCTGAAAGATGCCCCTCAGAACTCTTACGTTCTTGCTGCATACTTCCACAGATCCATCGACCAAAATACCACTAATGATACAAACTTTTAATTTCACAGATGAAGGAACTTGGCGTCATCGTATACAACTGTAGCTGCCTGGTCCTGGATTTGCAAAGGATATTTGCCCTGTATAGCTCATTAAGATACAAGAATAAAATACCTCCGAGTTGGTCTAAGAGACTATATGGAGTGTACGATACTCAGAACAAACTGACACTGCAGCTGAACGAGACAAAATCGGAAGCTTTCGTGTCGGTAAGTTCTAAAATGAGTTGCAGAGAGGGAGGGAAGGGAAGAAACTTATTTAACCCACCAGATTCTTGGAAGACCTGGAAAGTTAACATCTGTTTACTCTCCTAATACCGTCCTTTACGAACTACAGAGTAGGGAAGACCAGGTTAGGTAGGTGTTAGTAGCATATATGAAAGAAACTCAAGTGTCTCTTCACTGATAGAGAGATGTTCACCATTCCCTGCAGTAAGACCATCACAATGCGTGTTCTCCCTGACAGATACTGGCTGAAGAAAAGTAGTTGTATTTCTACACTTGAGTACCTTTGGGTTTATATCCTGTATTTTCTTTTTAGTGGTGGGGTTTTTGTGTGTGTTTGGGGTTTTTGGGCTTTTTTTTTTTTTTTTTTTTTTAAACACCTAAATTTTTTTTCAGCAGGGGGTAA